ATCGAATTCAGGTAGCCAAAACATGAGTGGACATGGCCAAAGGACTGCAAGATGCTGAACATTAGGCCAAAAGCAGCAATCTGAGGTTAACCTCAAGCTGTGTGGTCACTAAATGGCAAGAGAAAGGATCCAGTTTTGGAATCACACCATGCGCAGCTCTTCCAAGTTGCCAGTCTCCTGTCAAGAAAGTTCTCCCCCAGCCATTCCTGGAAGGCCTCCATGCTAATCTGCACAAACTGAAAGAAATCTTTCCTTTGTTGGGGGATGAAAGTGATTCATTCACTGCATAATTTAATGGTCTGGAGAATCAGGTAGCAGAGACAGAAAGGCATGTAGAGGTAATTGAGTCTGAGGTCATTGATCTGGAGAAAATGGAACCAGAGCATAAATCCACTGCCAACTGTAATCAAATCTACTCTTCACAGAATGTGTAGAACAAATGGAAAACAGGCACAACCTTATCTGAGCACTGGGCTGCCCAGCTGAAGCCTGCAATGGAAAGGCATGTCTCCCACAGAGAACTGGCTAGTGACCCTTACAGCACTTCCAAAGGCCAAATGACAAAAAAAGTGGGAGCATCTAGGAAAGTTCCTCTGAAATAATGGAACTGATGAAAAGCAATTGTCAGTTTTCTTTGCAACTATAGCAAGGTTACCTACTCACAGCAAATAATGCTCTCACTGAACAGCAGCCTTCTTTCTGTCAAGAAGCACATCATTACTTCTGCAAAGTTACTGTTGCTATAAATTATTTGACAAGGGTTTTAGGTCGACATATTTTGGCATATCACTTATTTGTGAAACTATCTGCAGGAATATAGCTCTGAGGACAAGGCACGTTAATTAAAAAAATAAGGGCATTCTGCTTKGAACCTTACATAACAGCCTTGGTCCTCAGATCTCCATTTATAACTCTTATGATTTCAAATTCAGCATTATCCACTTTCTCATTAAAATCTTAGTGTATTAAAAGAAATCACTTTTTTTTTTAGCTATGAACAGATAGCCTGAAAATGTTTGTTAACCATGAACCTTCAACTGTACCCCTCCACAGAGGGGCTAACACCAATTTTACCAGCAGGTTATTAGAGAAATTGTTCAAAATGCGATTTTATTGTATGGATTTACTTCGTGGGTCTATAGACTAGCTTCCTGGAATAACCAATGTTGAAAAAATTTGTACAAAAGTTTACAGATAGTTAAGAGGTGGCAATGGGGTAAAAGCTGTTTCTGTCTACTCATATGTGGGAATAAATCATTGAAAAACTACTGCTTAGTTTGTGGTTGCTGCAGCTTATGCCCAGGTATCATTTTAAAAATGTAACAGTCAAGATATCAGCAAGTAAATGGATAGAAGATTATCAGTGCAGTAATGAAGCTCTGTATAAAGCATTCCAAAATTAAGAGCATAAACTAAGAGCTATGTACTTGCCTAAAACTACATAAGAAGGAATAAGGAAATATATATATATATATATATATATATGTCATCTTCTATCACTTCATCATTGAGCAGATGGTTATCAATAAGATAATATTCCCACACTTCAGTAAGCTCTGCTACTGATTTTCCGGATCATTTGTGTTTTGGTACCAGTTTTCCAGATCATTTATGTTTTGCCAAACAAATCTCCACCTTAACAAGGAGTCCTGGTGTGTCACTTGACCTAAAAGGATTATATCCAACTCGTAATTGGTGTAACAGTTCAGTTATTTGGTCAAGTATCTGCTTGAGGATTTCATAACCCTGCCAGCATACTAAGTATGGTGATAACATGGCTTTAAAAGAACATTTATGGTTGCAGCAGCAGATGAAATTGTGACTTTAAAATCATCAGAACCATAAAGTCAGATGAAAAGAACTGGAAATATTTTTACTACTTACTTCAAAGTTGGGGCTAAATCACAAAAGAAGAATACCTGAAACTCAGAACCTAAGTTCCCTTGACTAGGAAAATGGATCTTTCAAGACGAAGGAAGCGTCCCTCCTTTTCCTGGCTTTGGGGCCTTACTGCTAATCACTGCAACACAACTCCATTCAGGGACAGTCTGATGGGTATATTACCCCTCTAASACTTCCTTGGAAATAGAGCCTCTCCCCAGAGAAAACAGAATCTTGCATCTCAGATGGGAACAGCTCTAAGTGGCTCCAAAGCGCAACACATTGAGCAAGCCTTACCGAAGAGTGTACTGAACTGCAGGACTGGAAACCACCACACAACTAGAAAAAGGCCAACATAGGTAACAGAAAGGCAGTAATTCTGCAGAATTACAGTAATAAATGCAGAATTTCAATGAAACAAAAATGGAAGAGACTTAGAATACAAGGAAATGCAGTAAAATTTTGCTTGAAAAGTAACACCATTTTGCTAGGGAAAGGACATCTTAGAGTAGAAGAACATCTTAGAGAGAAGAACATCCATATCATGGAATATGGAAGATCTGAAGGAAAGTGGGAGTAAGAAAGCAATTTTAATCATTTTAATTAGAAAGGTTAGTGGACATAAATCCATCAACCACTTTTAAATAACCTCTTTTCTAAGGGTGCGCTGATTTGCATTTTTTCATTGTTGAATTTCATCTTCTGTTTTATCATGTTGTATATTTTAATCACAAGATCCTGGGTGAGATCTTCAGCTTTTGTCCCAGCTATTCACACTGATTCTGTACCATCAGTACTTCAATCCCCATACTCATTTTCAAACTCATTTCTGAAGGTGCTGAACAAAGTTCTCAGCACAGATTTCTTTGCAGTATCACTGGGGATCTGTGCACTACAAAAAAAAGGCCATTTACTCCTATGCTTGATTTTTTAACATTTAATTCTGCCATGAAAGAATCTTTACTCTCATTCTATGACAAACTAGTTTAAAAACATTAAAAAAAAGTCTCCAAAAGGTATAAAATATACTGATCATCCATATTTATATATTTAATGTGTTACTCAGATGATCTCTTAACTCAGAAGCTTTATCATGCATGACGTTCTTCCACTAAAAAAAAAGTTCAATTCTCCCCCCATATCATTTACCATCATTCATCTTTACTAGAATTTCTATTCACTTCCTTCATAATGAGATCAGGCTTATTCATCTGGTTCTGCTAAATTCAGCCAGAGAATCCTTTTAAAATATTTTTGATTCCACTCTTTTGATTCCAGGATTACACATAACTGTTCATTAATTCTGTATCTCAGTCCTCTCAAAGCTTTTGGGCAGCTGCCATAGGAAGCCCGCCTTTGAGTTGCCCTCCCACCCCCAAACTCTTTTCCRAACATTTTATGCCAAAAATCAAATCCATGGATATATCACCTGTCTCAGACATAATTATGTAGTGTTAAATCAGCAATATCAGTCTTTCTGTCTAGTCTGTAATAGTTTTCTACGTATATTTCAAAAAAGAAAAAAATCACAAGCATTTTAGRCTATGCTTTCTCACAAGAGCCAAATCTGGKAGAARGAAAAAAAAGCCAGAAACCTCATGTAGAGCTACTGCTGCAGCCATCCTGTTGTCATGGCCCGTCGAAGCCATGACAAGACTTATTCTAGTAGTGCAAAGCTGCACAGGCATCGTTTTCATCACTTGTGTCATCGTGTTCACCTGATAAAAGGACTATTGGCAATGTGCCACAAGCCTTGATTATGTGGCTGCCAAATTCRTTCCTGAACTCCAAATGCTCCCCGTGGTTTGCTTCCAAATACGTACTTTCCTACGAAGCGCAGTGGTAGGTGACGCTTTGTTGGAAAAGAAAAACATTTCAGCATCACGCTGAAGTTTGAAAAGTAGCAAAGACATCTCTTTGAGACATCTCTGGTTGGATGACATAAGAATTAAGAAATGAGAACCTACTTTTTTCACCTTGATTACAAGCAAGATGAATTCACAAATAAGGTAACACTTGTGGGGTTTTGTTTGTTTGTTTGTTTGTTTKTTGGKTTTTTTTTTTTTGTATTTTGGAGAAGGAAAATTTATACAAAGGTTAATACATCTTTTAGGGTAAGGGCTCTCTTATGAGGCAATATGATACGGGTCAGGAATTTGCTGTGAGGAATTAGTATCCTGGGAATAACTTCTTGCATTGTTCAGAGGTGGCAGATAAGTTCAAATACCCTTTTCATCAGGCTTTTTTTCTTTTTTTTTTTTTAATATCCAGAACAAAGATCACTGAAGTGTTACTTTCTCATTCTATTTTATTTCACAGTTATGAATACTTTATATGTAAATGAAATACAACCATGACAGTGGTCCTTGCTGAGAAACAATGCTTTTCCTTAAAGTTAGGCATTTAAAGTTGATAGAAAAATAATATTCTAAAAGCATTAATGTAACTCAGAGGACAGACTTCCAGCCTTAATAATAGTAACAATGATAATAATAGCATTGTTAGTAATAGGAGAATATGTTTCTGAATGTCAGTAGTGGTATTTTAAACAAAAAAGGCTAACAATGACTGTAAATATGTGCTATGAGAAACACTGGCATGTAGCTGCCAGATGATCTCAATGAAGGATTTCATTGTTGAATTATGAAATCATTGTGTTTGATGTTATTATATACATATACTCTAGATCTGATGCAGATCACAGTCAAGAAAGATTCCAAGTGGCCCCAGAGGTCTTCATTAACCCTCTGCCAGGAACAGCTAATAATTAATTATTAAATAAATCTATAGGTTATACCTAGCTCCAGAAGAGTTTCTGCACTCCTCTGTGCTGTTTCTGTTCTGTGCTGTCTTCCACATAGTGATAAAAGCAGAGTCAATACAGAGAATACTGTTCCCCATTTTTCTGTAGACCACATAGTAACGTACGGACACGGTCCCACCTAACAATTTCAAAATGAATGAGCAAAAAATGCCATTAATTTTTTCAGACTGTTTTGCACCTGTTTTCTTAATGTCTCTGTGTGTGTAGCATCTCTTGTTGTTCAAAATACTTGGAGACTGGTTTCTCACAAAAACTTTCAATTAAATATATGAAAATATTGGAACAATTCTCCTACCTTTAGCAAATAAGCTTGGCAGTCACTGACATAATCATACTCCAGTCCATCAAATGTGTAATAATGTCGATCTCCATAAATAGTGCATACAGCAGGACAAGGATAACTTGTGCAATTGAATACCCCTCTCCGACAAACACTGGAAGGAAAGATAACAGCCAGTAACTTCTTGTAGCAAGGCCATTTAATTTTGTATTTTTAAGGAAAAATTTCTTGTGCTTCTTATTCAACTCATACAGAAATTCATGAAGGAAAGTGTTTTCTCAGACCTTGAAACAAGGCTATTCTGTGGAATAGAATTATAGAATTCTGAGATTATGGGGTTTTGAAAATTCTATTAATTCTGAAAATTCAGTAATTTCTGAAGTTACTGAATTCTGAAATAGTAAGAGAAAAGTTTTGAGCTTTTAGCTGTGAGCACACAAATATATAAGAATGTGTAAGAAATTAACATAAAATCTTATTTTTTATGGYATATGCAAATATATCCATCACTGTATCTCGTATAACTAAGACATTGTGACACACACACTCATAAAACATCATTGTCATATTTTTCATAAGATATTTTAATACATTTTCTGAGATGCAAGCAGCACATAACCAATGCAAGAGTTGTTCAGCTGCTACCAGGATATCCAACTAGTACAAAATGATCTTGAGAAATGCTCGTGCTTTAAGGGATTATTTTACTTGTCAGTTACCTGTTCAGTGACCTTAACATATTTATATGAGGCTATAAGTATCCTAAGTACTGAGAGCCTCTGTTGTCCAAGTATGAGTGTATTAAACTCAATCGAGTTGCCAGTGATGTTTTCAGCTGAGTAAGAACTGCGGTGCCAAATTYTGTTTGTTTGTCTGGATAACCAAAATATATATCTAACTAAAGAYAGAGTTTTGGGAAGCAAAACATAATGGATAAAAATATGTTTTCTGCCAATATGGATCAGGTAAGATTYCTCAGGAAAGACACTGAGTGAAATCTTATTTTCCATTTGTATTACTTTCTTATTTCCATCTTTCTTTTATGACAAATTCCTCCACTGTCTTGACATAAGGCAGGTTTTCCACTGTCCCTGCTCATGCTGAGTGATCTCACACTGCAAACAGTCGAGTTCCCAAAGGAGAAGATTATTTACCATTGTCATATATTAATTTCTTTTTTTTTTCTTTCCTCTGTGGTTCTTTTTCCATTTAATATAATGAAATATATTCCATTCTCTGAAATACCAACTGTCTTTTTTTTTCAAGAGTAACTAATAGATATCTAATCCAGCGGTTGTTTTGAATTCATTTTTAGCTTCGTCTGCTTCTTTTTCAGACCTGAAGCAGCAATTGCTTACCCAAAATTTTACTTTATTTGGTCTAGCAACCCAAGTCTGTAACGACTCTGTCTGTCTAATAAAAGATATTTCCTTTGTCTACAAACAAGCATATACATTTTTGATTTTTACTGTACTCTATACATTTTCTCTATCAGTTTTCCTTTGTAGTAGGATACTGACAATTTGAAAACATGTAAAATGCATGTCACTCACCAGGTGTAACAAGGTGTAGCTATCACTTCTCCTGACAGAAATTCCCTGTCTTTCCAGGTGCATGGACAACTGTCCGGAATATAACATTTCCCTCTATGTTCTGCCATCCTTGAAAACAGAAGAATTATTTTTAAAAAGAAAACAAATTCACAAGTTGATCAACATAGTTCATCGAGTGGAGCCTTGTCTAAACCCAGCATGGACAACTGGTCTTCCATGCAGGCAGCAAGGCCAATTATTTCAGCAGCAAAAGCTGCTCAGAACAAATGATCCCCTCCTTGCACAGCTGGACACCTAGCAAGGCTCAAAACTGCAGCTCCTTAACCATGAGGAGGAGAAGCTTGTGTGAGGCTCAGCTCCTGCATGAGGGCATGGAAGCCCAGGTGCTCCTCCTGCCTTATACAAGAGCAAGGGCGATGTCCGAGCCTGCTGCATCCGTGTGCGAGGGATGCAGCTATGGGCTGGTCCTTCCTCCCTGCTGCTCCATYCTCCTCCCATCTCAGGGAAGCAAAGGGAGGGATGTGCCTGCTCTTCACACAGGGGGACAATCACCCTGCTTGGAGCAGAGGATAGCGAGGAGGATTATGGCAGCTCTGGTGGGGCAGCAGGACAGAAGAAACACAGAAGATTGGTGGTGAAGGCGAATGGTCTTTACTGGGAAAACAGCTAATGAGGTTAGATGAACTGGATGCCATTTAATGCAAAATGAAAGTTTGGCAGAATTTAGAAGAGTGAAGAGAGAGACAATGGTTGAGAGGAGGGCAGGATCCATCCCGCACCCCCTCCCTCCCTGCCCCACATCAGAGCTCCATTTCATCTAGGTAAGACAAGCAGGAACATCTAGGGCAGCAAGCAGGAACAGAGGTGTCCTGTGAAAAGTGTATATGCACCTGGTGCTATGGAGTATACTGACAAAGGCTTACCCTGGTGGGCAAATGCAGCCACTTGCACAAGGTGGTGAGGGGACGCAGGAGAAGTTCATGGCAAGGTTGGCACAGGAGACGCCGCAGTTTGCGCCAGCTGCTGGTAGTCCAGGCACAGGAGATCTGCAGTCATAGTAGATTTTGCCTTCAGGGCAAACGTGAACTTGAAATGTGAAATGCAGGTGAAATGAGATGAACACTGAAATTTTCTGTGATTTTTTTAGTTCATCTATTTTTAGCATAGGTTACAGTATAATTATATAATTATATAATATATAGCTATATACATGTATAGTTAGATAATATATAATTAGCATATATCACATAAGAACATATATATATGAACATAAGAAAAAATTACAGACTATATATTCATTTGTATTACATGAGTAATATAATTAATATTTGTTTGAATGTATAGCAAACAAAAATATTTAACACAAGCATCTTGGGTCTGATCCACAGCCCATTTTTAAAAATCAGGTAATTATGCCTCAGGTAGACAATGTTTTAGAAGTGCTATAATATTCAGTGCACTAAAATCCATTCTAAATCCATTAAAAATCTGCTAAAATTTTACTTCCTAGAAAGCAAGGTCTGGAGGGTGCATAAAGAGGGATTCCTAGCCTAATGTTAGGTATTCCCATTAGAACATATTGACCTATATCTTGCTTGAATCTTTTAAAAGATTTTTTCCAAAAAAAAAATTATTTGTGAAATAATGTGAGCTAAGAATACAACCTACCTGTATTTTCTGTASTGGCTTCAATACATTTCATTGTTCCATTCAAACACTGGCTGGCAAAAAGAAAAGCAAACTCGTCTTTATTCCAGGAGAAAAATATGTTTGCAACCACCACACTAAAAGACACAGCAGTACTTAAAACAATTTAAACAATTGAAATGAAGAGGAGAATGATGCTTAAAATCCCCAAGCATATGATCTGATCAGCATTTTATTGAGCTTTCTAAACGCTGATCYGTWGTCACAGAATCCAGAAWGGTTGAGGTTGGAAAAGRCCTCTAGAGATCATTTAGTCCAACTAGTCCAACACYCCTACTCAASCAAGAACACCTAAGGATGGGTCTAAATTCGCAGAAATATTAAGGTGCTTATTCAATTGCTTAACAATCACTAAAATAATTAAAAAAAAAAAGGGGGGGGGGGGGACTGGGTACGTTAGCTTCCATGGGCATATAGCCCAGGTGGCTCAGGATGCTGACAGTGCAGTGCAAAACCTTTTCCCTCCTGGAGAATACAAAAAGAATACATATATATATACACAGACTCGAGTGTATGCACACAGCAGGCTGTATAGTTCCACACACATATAACCAGGCTGCAGAGGCACGGCAGTGGCAGAARAATGAAGAGTCTGTTCTCACCTCCTCAATCTCAGTTATAACCATAACATATGAGACCTCAGCAAGAACCAACTTTGACATATTTTTAAATTAACAGGTTAAGAGCATTTTTTGTAAAATGAACACATTGGACCAGGAGCCCAGGGAGCTTTTCCCACTTGTTTCAGGTCCATCACAAATAAATGATACAAAAAAAAAACACAAATATTGCTCTCCACACAAATACTGCTCTCCACAAGGCCATGTTTGAAAGGCTTTCCAAAATAGATTCACACTGTTTATTCTTCTGAAACCAGCCTCACATTGCTGTCATAATGCCCCTGAATCTTAGAAAGGACTGCAGCCTCTGTGCATGTTTTCAAAGATGCTCTTTAGTCCCTAGCTAACAAGATTTRGCATGTATCATCATACGAAGCTGCCTTGAGCACTGCTGGTTATGTTTTATGAAGCTTTTGTTCAAAAAGGAATACATGTAATCCAATTTATAGATTATCTAAARTCTATACTATGTTACTAAATGTGCAACAACAACAGAAGTCTAGATACAAYAGACCTTCATTCCACATGGAAATATTTCAGTAGCCTTCTTCATTGGGAAATGAAGAAGTAATAATTCTTTTACATTCAAACCTACCAGGAACCTGTTGACGTGAGGAGGATTTCTCCAGGCTGGAAGGCTTTGCCCTTGTAATGACAATTACAGGCAGATCTGTTAAAAGAATATTTATGTATGTGGTTACAAAAGCAAAATGAAATGGGAYTTAAGGTCAACTCATTTATCAAACTATTATAACAAATAGGCTTCATAATATTCTAAATAAATCCTTTTATTTATATTTATAATGCACATGAAATTAAAGACAAAATTAAAGGATGACAGTCTAGCTTCCCTGAAAGCAATGGCAAAATTCCCACTATCTTCAACAAAGCTAGGATTTTCATCATATCTCCATACTATTTACTTGCTGTTTCTGTGTATTACAGTCTACAGGGKTTTTTTTTCTTCCCAATTAAGGGAGTAGTATTGCAATGTGTAACTACTGTTCCAAGTAGTTTCAGAAGTTTTGCTTCATTTATGTTTTCCTACTCTTTTACCTGAATGTTTCTGCACTGTCACATAGAGAAAACAGACACTCCAAGTCACTGTCTCCATATTGTCTGTGGCTTTCTGGGTTTCTATTATGTTTATTCTCACTTTTTCCTAAATCTGTAGAGCAGTCTTTTTCATATTAAAATGCTTTTCCATGTGTTAAAAAAGTGTCACTGTGCTTCCTTAAAGCAGTGTGACACATCTTCTCTGAAGTGCTGTGGAYGGCTCTAACACAAAAAAGATGAAGCCACACTATTGATTAGTACAAAAATATCTGAAACGTGCATTTCTATCCCATTTTTGGTAGTCTACATCTTAAGAAAATAAAGAAGAAAAACGTTTTCAACAGCTTACTTGAAAGAGGCAAATGCCTTACACATGTATTCTGTTTTAGTATGACTTACATTGATAAACAAAAGTTGACCGACTCTTCAAAATATTTCCCCTCAGGACAGTTACATCCTTCAGCACAGTCATCGCCGCAGCTATTTGCCGCAGAAAGGGAAGCACAGGAGTGTTTACAAAAGGACGAGCACTGGTGGTAGAGCATACCGTTGTGACACAGCACAGCTGAGGGAGCAAGAGAGGAGGGAGAACAACACACTCTTAAGAAGTGCAAGATGAATAACAAGCCAAGTGTACCACAAGAATGCAAAACAGCAAAGCAAAACGCACCCTTTCTGCTCTGGACTCAGTTAAGATACTTTCGAAAAGCATGTTGTTTTACTGACTTCTTGAGTCAGAAATGTTTAGACTAAGTATGGTTTAATGTTAGAAAGTCCCTTGAAAAAGTAATGAGTGTCTAAAATATATTTGATATGCATACCTGTGTGTGCAAGAGTATACTTATATGGGCATCTGTGTGTACACATGCATGGGCRTATATATATATATTTTACAAACTGAGAAATTTAAATTTTCCTTGCGGTCATTAGAAAGGGACAGACATCCTCTGTGAGGTGACTCAGAGCCCTCAAGGAGGATGCCCAATATCAARGTTATTCGGCTTCTCTTCTGAGCATTTCATGAGCCCATGGCACAATTTTAGTTTCCAGCATAAAATACCAATTTGCTGCATTTTGTGGTGAATTATTATTTGAGATTTTTTTCACATTCCCACAGATGTTACTCACCGCAGTAAGAAATGTGAGACCTGAAGTCAATAGCAATTCCATGCTTGCCACAGACATGAGCATAGTGTGCAAGAGCATTGCACAAACAGCTGCTTCCACATTTGCATGCATCAAACCGGCACAGCTGGTAATATAACCCTGGGCTGATGTAGGCATGGCAGGGAGCAAAGAGTTCTTGATTGATGATATCGCAGTGAGATGCATACCCAACTGAGAGAAGGTGACATTGGTTTAGCAGGAGCCATGTTAATATAACAATTAATCAAATGAACAGCATGGAATATTAAAAGCAAAGGCACTCAGCCAATTTCTGTACAAAGTCTTTTGGCAATATTCTACAATTTAACACTGATATTGTATGTAATTCTCTCAGCAACAAGCTCCACTTAAAGTGAAAAAGAGTTGCATCATCCTATGGTAACACAGAAAACACATGAATAGCAATAAAACTTATTTCAAAAGAGTTAGCCAGAAGAGTCTTCCAAAGTTTGGAATTTGGTTTTTTACCCATTTAATGTTTCATTCATCTTCAAAATCAGCAGTGGCCATACACTTCTTGGCATGTGGTCTTTGCAAGCATTACAGACTGGAGCTCAGAGACATGCAAGCACTAAGCCTGCCATACACCTCCTGATACCCTCCCCCTAGCACTCCAGCACACTAGTAACTCAGGATTGCAAGAGTTCAGAGCACGTTTAAGCCAGCTTTGCTGCTAAAATAGAGTCCCTACCCTTTCTCTTTTTTCCTTCATATCCACCCACTCAGTGACTCAACTATTTCTGGAGTTTCTCAGTAAACCAGATTCAAGAAGACATCCTGATTTCACCAAAGCATAATCTGGCAAAATAAGCAAGTAAACAAACAAAGAAGTTTTTTGTTTCCGGTTTTATCAGATTCAGATCATCTGAAAAAAAAAATCTATTGCTGGTGGTATGGGTGGTATTCTGCGGCAAAACCCAGRGATTGCTTTTTCCCATGACAGTTAGAGAGTTTAAGGGAAATTCAGATTAGAAGGGACCTCAGAAGGTCATCTAGTTCAATCTCCTGCTCTCAGCACTTTACATCTGTGGAAAACTCCACCTTCACTGAGGAAACACAGAAGTGAAAGTCAGACATGAAGCACCATGGCCATCATCATGCKGTAATCCAGCTATCGCCATAAGGCAGGAGAAGACCACTTAGAGGAGGGTTGGCAGAGATTAATGGCTTCAGCAAATTTTTGAAACTATAAAAAGTGTAAAATCCTAGATTCTTACAAGTAACAGACTGAGCTTAGCCCCAGACTCTGGGGCTGAACAGACTCTGAACAGGATCAAATCTCACATTCTTAGTCCTCTGAAGCATTCAGAACACTAAACTAGATCCTATCAAAATTTCACAATCTTTTTTCATTTCAGATGAAGGGAAGAAAAGAATGGCAGCACAGAAAAAAAGACGCCATGTCAGGGATATTCAACCTGAAACATAAGCACTTTTGCCAGCTGAAATTAAATCTTTGCTCAGGTATTTGGACAAATCTTGGGATCTCAGATCATTCATATAGGTTTATGTGAGAGACAGCATTAATGGAAAATGAAGAAACTCATAGGACAATTTATACTTGTACAGAGAAACCAGAGACAGGACTTCTGATATGACCTCTAGCTAGGCAAGACACCATCTCCYGCTGCTTCTTTGTCAATCAACAAGCACACACAGAGAGCACTAGTTCTTCGTCCTATTTGGAACAATTTACAGGAGAATGGATTCTGTGTGTGTGTGTGTATTAGACAGCAGGATTTAAGGCCAGTGGCAGCATATCCAACATTAAATGATCAACTAACTTTTATTTACCAAATATATACTATATTTATAGAAAGAATAGTACTTATCAAAGGAAAAACAAAGGAAAAAGAAAAGAAAGTGTGCATCTAAAATACAATTTAAATGACAGAATAATTTTTATTTTCTATGTACAAACTGCACTTATCATTGAAACTTATTCGCATAGAAAACAAAATTCTGCCATAAGATAAATATAATTCCAAAATGCCATTGTAAAACATACCATTTTGTTGATTAACATTACAGGGGTCAACCACAGGAATGTTGATAGGCACTGAACAAGCTGAGGAAACTTTCCACGCACTGGCATGAAGCTGGGGGGTCCCTTCTATCATCCCTGCTGGAGAACTGRAAAGGAAGAGACTGAGATTGCAGGTGTCCCACTGATTTTACAGACTATACAAGTTAGGATACAAATGCATCAGAAATCCTCAGATTCATCCCCTGTCTTATTCATGAAGAAATATATCTTTACACTCCAAGTCTGCCATCACTTACACTTAACACAATTACATTAAAATCAGCTGTAGAAAGCATTAATGAGWGGAGAATTTCACCATTCCAGCATATACATTCAGTGAAATGTCATAAATTTGACCTGTTATTTTTGCTCTCCAAGACAGAGGTTATTTGCATTTTGCTCTCTTTCTCATTAAACATCTGGAAAAAAAAATGTTATTGCTAAAAAATCTGTGATCTGTGACATAATGGCTTGAAGAACTTTTGAGGAAATGAGCCTAAAGAATAAGAAAAGTCCTTACAAGCTGCTACAAGCGTTAATCAGGTGAGAATGCTATTAGCATTATTATCAATGCTTTTAATCAGTGCTCAGGAATTTGCTCTGATAACAGAGCAGCATGGAGCAGAAAGAATGCATTCAAGCAATATCATGGTCCAATAACTTATGTCAGTAATATGCTAATTTTCTAATTAAAAAGTAAAAATGACTTAGATCATTAAATTTATGAGCTGCAGATTTTAAAATGACTAATGTTGTATTTAAGAGTTTAATTGGCTAATTTAATAAAGTATGAGAACATTAATGAAATGAACTGACCAGCATATTATGTTTATCAGAATATTTCACTTGTTATTAAACACAAACTAAAGATACATTATGTAACATACAGAAAATCATCTCTTAAATTCCCATTGTAAGTTCCACATAGTCCCAATGTTCTTCTCTTCCAGCTGACATCAACTTGAATGTAGAGCCTCTCTCCATCTTTAGCAAAAAGTATCTTCAAACCAAAGCTGGTTTTTAGTTGGACAAACAGAGAAGATATGTTCTGAATTTCAACAGCCCCTAAGCACAGCAAAAGAAAAAAAAGCAAAGCAATTGAAATCCAACTTCCAGGTTGGCTTACACTGAAAACTTGAAATCAAATAAGAAACTACGTACGATATTAACTGTCCCCACAAAGCCTTGTCCATTTTCCATCTATTTTTATGAGGCTGCATATCCTTATCATTAGCAACATGAATCAAGAATTGCAACTTACTGTCACCAGTAAACACCTTTCTATACCTGTGAGTTACACAAAAAACACTCTGGCGTCTAATGTTTCAACAGGAAAGCAATGCAACAGCATCCCCTTGACAATGAAAAGACAAGAAATCAATTGTTTCTAGCCCCCAGGAATGTTACAAGGTTAATGAGCAGTTGTCCATAAGGTGCACTGCAGTCTTCAGCTAGAAGGTTCTACCCAACTACCAACGATATGACACCAGTATGATTCCTTCCTTAAGTTCTATGTGGACTCTTCAGATTCCCAACTTTCCTTCTAAACAAATCCATTATATCAGGAAATGAAAATTTCATAGKCACTGCATTCATTTGCTATACGTGGTGGCTGGGCTACTTGTAGCTGCAGGTTTAAATCAGGTTGACTTTTGCAGTCAATGAATACAGCATATCTTATATATAAATATATATGTGTTTGTGTATATATAAAAATCAGTGGATGGATGTGGGTGTGTACACCCATGTATTCAACTGCATAAACAAATGCAAAGAAGCTTACATGGGTTTAAAATTTTTCTTAGCTGGCAAAAGTTCTCACAGAAATACCCAATTATCAAGAATGTAACAACAAAACATTTGTCATACATTATATTTCTTATGGACTGTGAAAAGACACAAGAAATTAATTAAGGATTGATACAAAGAATGAAATTCTCAGGGAGAACTTTTAACATAACTTAAAATACAACTGAACTATGAAATTCATTGCCATAAGAAGTTGTCAATGCCACAAGCAAAATTAGAAGTGGGCAAATTCATTCAAGAAAAGGTATTGCCTCAACCACCATACTAGATCTCACTAAGGTGCTAACTGGCAGAGGTTGGAAAAGGAAGAGGGAAGCTTCATTCTGGCCTTCAGAAAGAGATAAAGAATTAAGTAACAACCCTCTTCTGGTCACTATAAGATACTTGGCAATATCAGTTGTACAGTGCATAGTTCATCTTCCAAGAATCTCCTTTTCTATAGGTATCATTAGAATAAAAGTGAGCTCTAGTAGAACTCCTCTCCAAATATTTCTTACCATTGAGGTTAAAACCTTGATTAAGGCCGTTTTGGACTTGACCATATCTTGCAAGAGTTACTTGTTTGCTTGCATCGTCTTCAAGAACTAGTGTTACAGACTCAATGCAGGCATGGTCAAAGTTCTAAGGGAAAATGAATTTTAAGATCAAAAATAGGCAAAGACATTAATAATAGCATTGAAATTAAAGAAAAAAAAAAAAGGTTGCACAAAAAGGAAAGACCTGAAATGTCATTTAGGTAAATCAGCATTAAACTGAATATCCAAAACTGAACATAGAAAATCACAAATACTGCATATTATGGCAAAAGTGAGAGGAAGCTAAAAAATCCTGTAGCTGTTACAAGTGTCCAATAATAAGTGTAATAAGTGGACTGAGATCCCACATACAGATGCTGGGTTCAAACGGCAATACGTGCATGGCCACCCGGGGTTCTGCTCCTGTCCGGGTGAGCCAAGGGGTCAGCAAGAGCCTGAACACAGACACATCAAGCTGAGGAACCAGAGCCCAAGCCCAGCTGTGCAATAGAAACTACTGCACACATGAAGGGGCTTCTCCTCCACCTTGAAACATAGTCCTGAACTGTTACTATAGACAAAAGAATATATTTTTTCCAGAATTATACTAAAGTAATTCACAAATATCTGATGAAATACCCATGAAAAGCTGTAAAACTGTTTTGGCTGAAGATATTTTTCTTATTAAACATATCTCGCTCATTTACAGCAGCACCTATAAAAGACTTCTGAAATTTGCATGCATCTGTTTGTCATGAACGTTCAAGAAAAGTGAGACTTACGGGTCCACAAGGTGCCTTCTGTAAAGTGATTGTGAATTTGTTTTTCCCGGTGCCTTTTACCAAAATGTACTGGCAAATCCCAAGAAAGGTGAAATGACGACCATCAAATGTTGTGAAATGAGAGTTACCTGTGACGGAGCACTCAGCTTGAGAGAGAAAAGAAGTTCAGTAACTGTAATATATCATTTAAAAAAAAATTTAAAAAAGAATGTTCGTTTGTGTAAGACTGTATTATTACTTTATAAATGATGAAAAGCTGATAAAAAAGAAACTTCCCCTTGTTTTCAAGCATATAACCCAGACTAGTCTAACTGGTTACCACTGCCAAGCATCTAACCCAGTTATCTAACTGGTTACAGCATTTAGAGATGAAAGATGTTACATACACCTATTTCCAGTGGGTTTCATCTCACATTGCACACATGCAGCACCCTTTGGTTCTGATTAAACGAGATGCCCTTGGGTCATGATTTTTTCTAGCATACATGAAAGATTTTAAGAGCAAGAATTTTCATTTTATTACAATTGCCTTTTCCTAGGATCTTTTATTCATCTTTCGGCATGTCTAAGTGTGAAACAGAGAACAAGCTGCTTTGTGCTCCCTCCTGTCTACTACAAGGCTACTGTTACCACTGGCACGAGATGGTAGGTTTAAGTAGGTATGTACTGAAATTTAGGAAAGCAGACAAGCAGATTGTTCCCTGCTCTCTGGTGCCCCTCTATTAGTGTTTCAGTTTGGATSAGGAGCATGCAGTTGAAGCAACGCTCCATGTCCCCACTTACTGTACACTGGTTCATGTAACAGGGCACTGCCAGAGCTGGCAAACTGGATTCTTTGGGCTGTAACTACACCAGGAAACGTTCTGCAGAAGCACATCTAAGGCATTCCCTCTATCAAGGCATTTAGTCCCTACRGTCGGGTCAGTCAGAACTACCTTCTCCCAATACCCACAGGCCCATATGGAGTGATTCTCAGTGCCAACTCCTGTACCACATCACACAGAGAGCGTTCCCTTAAGTAAAAATTTTTCTTTCTCTTCCACAGGTTTCTAAGCTACAGAACTGCCAAAGGACTTTCACTACTTGATACTTGCTAAGGTTTTTTTGTGCAACTCATTACACAGACATGGAATCTTTAAAGGTTGGAATTACTATTTTGGAAGGTTAGAATTATTCTTTGGAACAGGCTGCCCAGGGGAGTTGTGGAGTCTCCTTCTCTGGAGGTCTTCAAAACCGGCCTGGATGCCGCCCTGTGCCCCATGCTCTGGGTGTGCCTGCTTGAGCAGGAAGGTTGAACTAGATGATCTCTAGAGGTCCCTTCCAACCTTGAATATTCTGTGATTCTGTGCTTATCGAAACACTGCTAATTCACAAATACAGCACTCTGATCATAAAAATGATGTCATTATTATTTGCATTACAATTGCACACAAATATCAGGAGTTCCTTAAACCTGGTCCTCCACACAGGTGGTAGAAATATACTGCCTGTTCTAAAGAAAGTTGTTAGGGAATAGAAAGCAGCAGGTGGATGCAACACAACAAATTAGGGAAGCAAACAGGAAAACAGAAGATGACAGTGATCAGATAGTTACCAGCTTCACCCCAGCTAACCAGCTACAACTTCGGTTGTCCTTCTGCCTAACCTTTATTCTTAAATTAGCATCTCACACCACAGTAAGTTCTGAGAGATTAGAATCATGGACATACAGATACCTGGGCAATCATGATCTGTGCAGTTCCAAATGCCACCAATGCAAACACTAAGAAGAAAAATGACAAAATACAGAATACAGTGTTTTCATTTTTCACAAAACCAAGGTTTTTGAGCTCGTTCATGTCTTGAATTCATTCTTTTCTTAAAATAAATAGTACCTGTATTTTAACGCACACAGACAGGGAACTCAGGCTGTAAACATAGATACTAACCGYTCTTTAAAATTCCAGCCTGGCTATGAGCTTAAGCTAAACATAGGCAGCAGTCACAAAAAGAGGGAACAAAGATGTGAGGTTTTCACATACCAATTGCTACATTCTTGTTCAATTTTTGAGCCTACAGGGAAGGCTGTTCCATGATAAACACAAGGACAATTTGACACAGAGATACAAGTTCCATTTTCCAAAATGAGACCTATTGGGAAGGAAATTAATAAAAATGAGAACAAGTTAATGTACTACAGATCACTGCTGTTCGCTCCTCTGAGTCAAACATTAAAATCTGCCAGATGATGAGCTCACCAGTTTTAACAGGGGACCAGCACAGAGTATCACCTAGTGTGCACAGAGAGTTCAGGGGAGTGATAAATGGTTTTGACAAGCACTCTCAAAGTGGTTTTCACTCTGAATAGTTACTTAATGCACAAAGTCTGCCTTAAATTAGTAGAATTATACAGACTTGAAAATGGAAAGATGCTGAGATCACATAGTCTTTAGTGCTTCCGTAATAGSACTATATATAGTACAGCCCTAATTTTTATTGAGTGCATGTCTCAGGAAGATAGTTTTCCTGTACAAAGCATTAGATAAATTATTTTTAAGTAAAACCTTAACACATTTAGGAACAATTCAGATAAAACAGATTAGACCTATGTCTGCATTATAGATGGCATTTGTGATGGCTCCAGATTTTAACTAATTCCTTCTGAGCCACATTTCATATTCTAGATAAATGTTTATAACACGATAAAAGGAAGAATTACAGTAAAAATAACAAAAACTAAATCAGAAATGACAATATCCATCTTTCTTTTGGCTTTTGATTTTAAACATAGTCTACTTAAGCAACTTTACTATGATGCTGAAAATTTGCTTTGAACTTCTTTTTTTCCCATGTAAAATTGACAGTATTTACCATCTGGACAGTAACAGCCATCTAAGCAATGCAGATTGCTTCCAAGACAATCCTTTTCAAAGGTGCAGGTTGGTGGACAACAGCTGATACAATCACGGTGCACGAAGCTGTCTTCACACTTTTCAGCTGCAACAAGTACATATTGCATTAGATATTAGTGCAGTTTTTCTTGCCATATTGGAGAAGTTCTATATCTACAAATAAACAGTTGTGCAACACTTCTGGCTCCGATGATTATTAAAATCAGTTGCAAGGAATTGTTTGGAGGAGTTGTAATTGGTAAACTGCAGYAAATCTCACATCAGGATTTAAGTTTTCATTATCAACTTCTTATAGCACCCCTCCACTAAAAGCTACAGTTCCTGGGAAAGGGGAGGTAAAACAGGAACACATGCTCATATCTCAGCCAGCTCCATGTCTTGTACATGAGGTGGAACTGCAGTTAATATATGGTTGACAACCAGAAGGAACCAAAGCTAGGCCCAGGATTTACTATTCTCGTTCTGTTATGGGGCCAGCAGAGCCTGAAAGGCCAGCTGGGAAAAGGAATAACACGAATCTCCACAATGTTTTTCTTGGTCTTTAAATATGCTCAGCACATACAATGGTTGAAGGAAGCTGCTGAGACATGGATATTAAGTGAATCTGGATCAGATCACAGCACAATTAAAATCTTCCCCTAAGAAGTCATTGACTTTTTTGTTCACAAGCCATAGTGAAGTGTGATCTGTGTCAGGTTTGACTCCTATAGTTGTCGAGATGGGATTATTTGAAATAGGTAGTTGGAGTCACCCAGTATGCTTTAATAATAGGTGCATCTTACTTACTACAGGCTGGGAAGTCATCCCTCCAGTCGCGCACAGGGGCCCCGGCGTGCGAGCACGCTCTAGCGTACTCTGTCACTGCTCTGCAATATGTCTCATCATCATCCATTCTGAAATGAAAAAACAAGGGGATAATTACTGCACTCAAATCCCATCAAGTGATCTCTCCCACAGGACACTTCACACATAGGTGACACTGCGTCACCAGAAAGGCACTCTTGATAAAAGCACAGCAACATATTCTGTATAGCTGGTTCACAGAATTTTCATTAAGGATCCCTTTTTAATTAGACATCACAAAAAAAATCATTTTAATATTACCACAATGAACAAAAACACTAATTTATCACAAAGAAGATACCTACTGCTTATGATAAGAAACATGATCTTGTCATGCAGACAACTAATGGCTTAACAGTCCTGTGAAACCCCAAGAACCTGTGGTTGGGCTCCTGACCTTGCAGTGAGGTGCTCAACATCATAAGCTCCACTGAGTATTACAGACATGCTCAGGGGTTTCCAGTGTGATCTGGGGCAAAACTGCTCTGCCCCTTAGTCTGTAGCTACAAAGGAAGCTATACAATATCCTTTGGCCAGATTAAAGAGATATTCATAACTATTTAAGTGAGCTGAAATTCTTTTCAAAGGTGTGTTTCATCTGATGAGATACCACCAGCTTTTTGCTACCATGGAAGTCTATCAACTCCCATCATTCACTGTGAAGGATTTGATGCCAAAATGAACTAATCATAACATGGCATTTCTATTAAAAGCATGACCATGACAGGACAGCTAAGTTTATTTGCCTTTCAGCACACAAGGTCAGGCTTTCAAAATTAATAGTCTCAAGAATATATTAGATTGTGCTAGTATTCTGCTTTCAACACATCTGTTATCACACTGAACACCAGTACACTCCTTTTTACAGTGATCATATTCTCTCCAGCTCTCCTTACCTAATCCAATTAAACGAGTCTTAAGAGAAAGAATACTTGGCATATATTATGGCCCCACAAAAACTTCCTAAACTGGCAATAAGCCATTAGAAGAGAGGTCTCTTTTATAAACAAAATAAGCCTAAATTAATGAGGTTCTGAAGTACAGAAACTTCCTTCAAGGTTTTCAWCATTTACACAATTCACATCAGCACACACATTCATGCTGACAAAAATCAAATCCTGAGCAACATGTAAGTGATTCAATGTCACATTCAGAGATTTGATTTACATTCTTCTTCTTCTGCTAAAGAAAAGGCACACTAAGCTCCTAGAGATACCAGCAGTCAGGGGCAGCTCAACTCTATTCTCCTCTGAGAAAGATAAATGTACATATCATCAGTCTGAGTAAGATGCTTTGGAAACTTGCCTACAAATAATGTAATGAGTGTAATGGGTGCTACTGAATGATTCTTCCTTTCAGTCCTATGATCCTTTCTGTATGCCTTTTAATCAGTTGATGATACTTTCAGAAAGCTGTTAACAGTATASAAGATAATAATTTATGAGTATTAAATTTATTATTATTTATAAAGCCTTCACTAAAAACAGAAGTGATACATTGTTCAGTCATCTATTCAGTTACCCTAGACCATCAGTTTAACTGGAATGAACAATATTAATTGAGCAAGACCATGGAGCTAAGGGAAAAATAGCAGGATGAATATATCCCCAGCAACTGGAGATGCAGCTCCCACCAAGGCCAATGAGACCAATTTATTTTGATATTTCTGAATTTTCATTTAAAAAAAAAAAAAGAAAAAATCTACTAATTTGAACCATAGTGGTTCCTCTGTTAAGTTTTTGTCCTAAAAACAGTGCAATTGTATCAGATGAGTGGTCTGCCCACACTTGCCCARTATCTTTGATATTTGCCCCTACTGTCATGCCGATCTCTGGGTGTTTTTGGCTCAGGACCTCCTGAAGTAGTTTTCTGTGATTAACAACCCTCTCTTCGGTCTTCAGTGACTCTCAACCAATTCCTATTTCATTAATTTGTCCAGACTCTCATTTAGTCCATATAAACTTCTACCAACCAACATATCCTTTGGCAAGCTGGCGCTATATCCTTTGGTTTCAGAGGTAAATCACACATTGAGGGAGCCCCACCACTGCCCCATTCATTTTGAATTTGTTTCCTACCAACTACATTCTGTGCCACCTAGTTCTTATCTCAAAAGACCTAGTGGGCATTCATTCCATGCAGCAAAAAYAATACACAAAAACTTCCTTCTTACCTGCAAAGATCATTCATACAGCTAGAAATATACGAATATGGGTCTATGCTTTCATGGCAGCTGAGAAAAGGAAACTGTAGAAATATTTGGCACTTGAAGAATATGTCCTGTGCATTAAGAGGAATTAGTAAATAACAGTTAGGAAATACATTCAGAACAAGCATCATTYTTCATAGGTTTCTTTCGCTAATCTAGGGTCTTTTACCCCATTAAAACCTGAGCATCTCACAGCTGTTACCTCTGCTGTTGTTCCCAGAATTTGTCCTCTCTGCCTAGACTGGCTTGACTGCATTAGTCTCAAACTGTCTAGGAGTAAAGAACAAGAAATGACCCCAAAAAAGGCATTTCAGGTTAATACAGGAGCTGAGCATGTTACTTTTGTAGTATTTCACATTTATAAAATAACGAGGTGTAAGGCAGCAGGACTTGAAACTGAACCCAAGACTAATGCAGGAATGAAGAACTCTGCTACCTGGCACATCCTGAGTCTTTGTACTTTAAGCTGAACAACTGAAGGTCTTTACCAACAGTTGTGACCTGAATCTTCTCTTTCTGAAAGACTCAATGTGTGCTTGATTCTTATATTGTCATAAGGCAATTAAGCTAAAAAAAAAAAAAAAAAAAAAAAGAATTACATGATTAACTTGCCTCAGTGGATTCTGCATCAGCTGGACAGGGGCTGGAAAAATCTGAGGCAGTAGGAACACAAGCTGTTTCATACGGGGTTTGCACAATCCAGCTGTTTGCAAATTCAGCAATGTCTTCTGTATATTTATCTACTTCATTAAAACATTGAAGAATAGCCATGAGAAAGAAAATATTGGCAACAAAAACACAAAAGGAATTTCTGCTAGTTATTAAATGAATTCATTACTTCATTACTCAGTTATAGATATACTCAGGCTTTTGGGGTGTACAAAAAAAAAGACTTTTCTTTTTTCTTCTAATTTCAGGTAATATTCCTCAGGTAAGAAACTAGTTTTCAATGAAAATATTAAGAAAATTATATGTCAAAATGTTGAGGGTGGCTTAAATGTAATCTGAGAAAATTCATATCAAATATAGAAGTAAAGACAAGTGTGATACATTGTATACTTAAAAAAAAAATTTCTTAAAACAATTCAGGTCTTTCATCAGGTTTCAAACAGAACATTTAGCCCTGCTATCTCCTTCCTTTTCCTAGGACAGAAGCAATGCTACATACTCAGTTCTCCTCAGAGCATGTGGATGGGAGAATGAATGAATGTGTGGGATCTGAAGCATTGCATCAAGATTTGAAGTCATGGCAAAAAAGTGAGGAAGATGCAAAAATGTAAATAAAGTCAGCAGTATGRAGGGAAAAAAAACAGGATTTGCATATATTTGCACCAAGATCTAAATATCAATTTTCCTTAAATTGTTAAGAATGGAAAAAAAAGGCAAATTTCAGCTCACATGAGCTGTGAGTTGAAAACATGGGCAAAAAGCTTGGAAAAAAATAATAATTTCAATGGCCTCTATAAAATACTCCCTATATAGAAGCAGACAGACTATGTAATACTCTTAGCAAATCATCTCTTTTTTCATTGCAACCAAATCACAACACTGGACAACTCTTCATCTTACTGGGCGGACGGAAGCCCAGGCTACAACTTAGAAACAATGAGATACAAGGACTCTCCTTGAAATAGTTTTGACTAATACTTTAATATTTTTATGATGATCATGTAAACAAATGACTCAAAATTATGCTTTTTCCTATTTGGCTTATCTCTCCTTCTCTATCCTTAAACATAGAGAAGACCACAAACATGGTTGCTTATTTATTATTTGAAGGCACTTCCATTATATCCCAATTGCTTAGCTAAACAAGAAAAGACTTAAGCACACACAAACACTTTCTTGAACCTTTTGCCCTAACATCTTTAACAGTGCTGAAGAATAGAACAGATACTCTATCTTCTAGCATAGAGTACAAAATAGAATATCTATTTTTATAGTAATATATTTAAAGTGAATATGGAAGGTAAGGTATTTCTAAGCTATTTACTTACTATTTTGCAGTCTCAGGTCATCAAATTTATTGCCATTAAAATTTCCGCAGAGGCCACAAGGTTTCCCCTTATGATCTTCTGTCAGCTTGATATAAATACCAGAGCTTCCATCCCAAGCGAGTGAAAAACCAAAGGTAGTTTTCACCAGAATGTAGTCAGCCAGTCTCTCAAGGAAAACATTTCCAACTGTCTGAGGCAAAGCTAATCTGGAAAAATAAACAACATACTTCAAAGATCGCAGATGTGCTGGGGTCATTTCTAGAAAAATATCACATTAAAAAACTCCCATTTTAACTCATTAAAAATCCTTTTCCTAGGTGTATATTCGTTTTCATTAAGTTCTTTGTCATGCTTTTACTAATCTTTAATCTTCCTTTTTTTTTTTTTTTTGGTATATATCAGTGATTGAAAACTGAATGCTCTTCTGCTCTATACATCTGACAGTTGTAACCAATCATTAGCCTAAAAATATGTATCTTCATTTTCAATCCCCAGCATGGGCACATGGAGGAATATGTCACTTCACTAGCTCTATGACACTGTGGTCAGTGCTCCTGGTGCTGCGAACACCAGCAGCCCTTCTGGCAACAGAGCACTTGTTGGGTCAGGTCTCTGCAAATGTAAGAACTTGCAATATAGAAAATATTCTTGACCACAGTATTTCCCATCTTCCTCCTTTAGCCAAAGACTGCTGGATGACAACATTGCAGCATGATCTGATTTTCATTTTCTTAAGCTGCTGCAGTTGGGATGAATGGCAATGTCACTACCGCCATCAGTCTCAGACATCAATAGCTTTAGCGTTACTACATCAAACARCACAGCAAGAAAAGCTGAAAAACCTTAAAAAGTCTTTGAAATTTTCTGTATTAGGTCAACCATTAAAATATATTTACGATAGCCTTGTACTCACTTTTTCATTTGAAACAAAAAAGGGAATAGTTCAGGGTTGATGTACCCTGAATTTTTTTGCCTCAGTTCATGACATAGGGGGAACTTAAGATCTTATATCAATCTAGATTGGGCTATAAGAGGAGTAACATCAAACATAGCTGCACACCAAGCACAGATAAAGATGCCATGTTCAAAACGGTATCAGGATGTGCATGGGAGTAACTGGAATTGTGTGATGTRGTTCTAAATAGATATATTTAATTGCTAGATGTTTGACTTCTTAGCTGTAGCAAGTTTTATGCAGAAAGTATACAGCCTCCCAGCTCAAGTCATCATGAGCATTACATATGTTCGTACCAGAACTCTGTTAGCACCAATACAGAACATCTAGGAAGCAATAAAAATATAACAAATTTTCTCCAGCTGGCGTCAAAGGTACAGCAAACTCCATATTATGTTTCTGCAGTAATATTTTAAAAACTTCTTTTAGAATACTTACCTAAGTCCTTCCTTTCTTACTTCATGTCCTGAAATTATTATCTCTTCTTGGTTTGAAAAAAATAAGCTGATTGTCCTCAGACAAGAATATACTGAACCGTAACAGTGAGGACTGTTATGAACCTTAGAAAGGAAAAACATATACACAGTAAAAATAAATGTTTTTTCTTAATACTTTCATGCAATTTATCATTTTTTATTATGCACATCGATCACTGAAGAATCCAAGGAGCTTTAATAAACAAATTAATGCAAGCACTATTTTCACTCAGCAGAAGACAGATTTCCAAAACYGTGAGTCTCTCAGAGACTGGCAGCACGTGACTTCCATGACTAGCTGCTACCGCAGAGATGTGTTGAACAGATCTCAGATTCAACACTTTCCGAAATGAACACTGGCAAACTCTTATCTCACTAACAGCAGCATATCTACAATTTTGTGGCAACAAAGTAGGTCTCTCTCTC